AGGCGAATGCTAAGTCCTGATCCAATGGTAGTTTGATTCCCACAAAAGTACTATATTTTAGTAGTTTATCTTTTAGCAATATACTTACTTCACCTGCTCTGCCCCAGATTCTGTATGAATCATTATACTGTATATTAAAAAGTCGAAAAGCACCAAATTAAGTTTGTGTAAACTCTCAGTCTTACAGGGAATATTCAAAACAAAGAACATGATCTGTGCTTCAGTTGCAGGTATTCCTGATGTTTCGTTCTTCATCCAAAGAACTTTTTCAAGGGAGAGAAAGCTCAGCCGCGAGTTGGAGATTTTTAACCTTTGTTTTAAGTTGTTTTTGAAAAAATCTACTCTATGTACAGTATATCTTTTTTTTCTTAATACACTCAGAAAGTGGTAACCTCTGTTGTTGCTATCTGCTTCAAGGCTAACTGACCTGAAAAGTGGCAGCGATGATTCAATTCTACTGAAATAAATTGATTTGTGTATATCCCTAAATCATAAGATAGTCATCTTTAGGGCATTACAGAGTTTGGCAAAAGCATATCTGTGACAAAATGGGTTGCTTTGTCCCTTTTTTATTACCACTTTTACCTTACCTCCAATTGATGATTGTGTTCATTCCTGATTATCACATTTGGTTTTTGTTTAATGTTTCTTTATACTTACCTGTGTAGAGAATGTGAAAGGGCTCACAGGTGAACCTCCAAAAAAAAAGATACACCCTGAGAAGAGTCAGGGCACACCAGAGACAAAAGCCCGTAGTACGGATGTTTGCCTCAAACACAGGAAATGCAATAGTAACATACAAACCATTGGTCCATTGGGAGCAGGATTATTGTTCATACATGTGCATACGTGTCCACTTGAAATAGATTTTATTCATATTGCACCTTACATTTCTAGGAAACCTCAAAGTGCTACAGTTTAAAATACAATACAACAAACACACACACAAAAAAACATTAAAAGTACATAAAATATCAAACATGAAGGGATTAAAAGCTCATTAAATAGGTCTGCTTAACAGGGAAATGTTTCAGTCCTCTTTTAAAGGACTCCATATTTATGGTGCCCTCTCCCAGAGACTCTTCAACATCTTCAGTCACTCACTCCCATACCCAAGGAAGGCAGATGGAGTGTATTGTCCAAAGGCACAAAAACAGTGAAGCGTGGGTGCTATATTGCATCATGCAGACGAATCAGTGTTGTGTCTGGGATCCTGTCCTTTTGCTCAAAAAGTAAAGTAGACGGCAAATCTCCATGGTGCAGCAGCGTGATTAAATGACACCCCAAAGACACACATATCATTGCAAACACCTTACCTCTCGGATGTTTGTGACCTTATTTAATAAACATGTTTTTTATGCCAAAATAAATGAGGGATGACAGCCAAATAAGCCATTAGTGTTTTGTGTTTTGCCATTGGGTGGAGGCGAAGAGCATTAGGGGATCGACCTGCGCTGTGCATTGAGCTGTATGGTCCAAACTTCCTACAGATGTGGTGAATGCTTTTCTGTGTAGATAATTGAGAAATATTGTAAAGTGATGTCTTTGAGAAGTAACACTTACGTATGATTCAGCCACGGTGATATCACGGGGGGTCCATTAAACGCATAGAACAACAATGATGCAGCACTGGCCCTCGGGGGGAGTACCGCTGATGTCTTTGACTCCTGTGGTGAAAAATATACAGTTCAAAGAGAGCTGCGATAATGAGGACCGCAACAGGTACAGTGTGTTTACATCTGATGCTGAAATGGTTTATTTCTATTGCGTTTTGAGGTGCTACCCCCTGCTCTCTTTTATTACTCCAAAACATGTACTGCAGCGATGACAATGGAAGCCTTGTTAGGATGATGCTGCTGCGACAATAATAACTGGTGCCTACTGGTGTCAACTGGTGTCAAAGTCCAACAATACATTTTTATTTTCAGGCGACACCGTAGACTAGAGATAAGAGACTTCCTTTGTGTTTGATGAAGGCAGTCTTCTTTCTCTCATTTTGATTGTCAAAGGGAAAATCTCCTTGATATTATTAATGCGGAAAGGCCACAAAGGGAGAGTGTTCAGAGTTAGGAATTGCGTCATCAAACCAATTTACCGTCCTGTCCTCATGAGACATTCTGCCCTTAGAATGTCACTCTGCAAAACTTGAACCCCCGAAGGAAAAGCAGAATCACTGTTAAGTCTTGAGCAATAGATCTATTCATTTCTGTGTTCTGCCTTGGTATACTATGGGGTGAAAGTTTCCCTTGGTTATGTAAAGTAATTAATATAATGAATGTCGAGGGAGGTATTTGCTTTTTCCGCTCAAGAGTTTGTAGAATTCATACATTATGCATGTAAGAGGGAAGGTTATCTATGGGTTTCCGAAAAATTTTAATTGCCAATCAATTAGCATTTTTTCTTGATGGTAAATGTCCTCAATGTTGCATACACAGGATGAATATGGTAATGTACTATAGTGAGGTTTTTTTATGATGGAGATTATTCCCTAGCATATGGCTGACCTCACATGTATGTATTGTGTATTTATAGCGCATTTTTACAGAACAATGTCACCCAAAGCACTTTACAATGTTCAGAGCTCCGAAATGTTTCCATTCTCTCCACACACGGTGATGACGGAAGCAAGACGCCATAGACACTGGCCGATCAAAGCCCCAACCAACACCATTCATTCACCAGAGCCCCCGGAGGAAACCTACGTAGACGCAGGGAGAACATTCAAACTCCACTCAGAAAGGTCCTCATCCGACCGGGATTCGAACCCAGGATCTTCTTGCTGAGAAGGCCACCCAATTCACAGATGAATTCACACTTAGAATTTCTGCAAGTTAGTTTGTCAGTCCAAGATGCTAATGTGTACAAAATGTGCCTCATGCATAATTCTTTCTAAGAAAAGTAGTAGACCGTGATGTTGTGTCAGTTTGTCGGACCCCTGCTGTGTCTGGTGGCACTGCCTGAGCATGTGCTTCTGAATAATGAATTTTAAAACGCACTATATAGCAGTGTTAGGCATGTACAACGTGGGAAATGATGTTAACAAGCAGAAATCACAGAGCAGTTTGAGCCAACACTAAAGTACACACAGAATAGCCACGACCTCTTTACAATGTAATGGATATGCTTCCGGAGGATTTGGTGGTTTTATCCATATCAGCCCATGTTCTGTTAGCTGTTCCTGTTCCATCGTTCCATGTTTTGTATATTTATGCTGCTTGGCCAACAACTGGAGGCCCCTGCTTCACAGAAACTTCTCAAGACATGAAAGTCCTATTCTTGTCAGAAACTTGCTCGTACATCAAGGGGGTCAAGAGGTTAAACTCAATAACAACACAAGGCTAGACAAAACTGGACTAATGTATTGTGATGAGGCTCCACAAGCTTGACATTCTGCTTTTTGGCACAAACAAATCTTACTGAGGAGGTTAACACTAGAACACCCAATTGTCAATTGTATTATTGTGGTCTTCATGACTTTTTCTGTTTCAATAGGAAGTTCATTCTATTTCAATATTTAAGGAAATTATCTTTTAATTTTAAATTTGAGGAGTTCTACCTTTAGCTCCATTCATTTAAGATTCAAATATTATTTGGTCGCTTGGTAATCAATTGGCAATTTAGTAATTTTCTCCAAGGTACTGGTCCTGGATGGATTCTGTTTCTGAGCCTGTTACAGCTTTTGAGCAAATTGCTAGTTCATAGCCACACACTGTCAAGAGACATGTCATGAGATAGCATTAAACCTTTTTTCAGTTTTTGCAAGTTTAGCACTGATTTAACCCTATAGGTGCCATGGTTGTAGCCTGGTCTTACCATACCATCGTACAAATTTCAATTTGACCGGCGTTACGGACGGCTAAGGCCAGGCTACGGTTGACTTGAGTCGACAAGATGTGGGACTGTTTAAAATGGCGGATATCAAACAGTTTGTCAACAATTATTTGCACGTCGGGGCTTACAGTTTGGGCAGTAATGATTTGAACTTTTTTCCTATTTCCCTGTGACTTCAGTTTGTGTGTTCATGTTCTAGTGATGTTTGTCATTTAAAAAAAAAAAAAAAAAAACATTTGATGAAAATTCTAAAATCCATGATTGCCACTGACTTATGATGTCGTAATATGCAAATTAGATGGGTACATTGAATCCCTACAAAAACTTTGGGTCATGCTTTAAATTTCTCTAATTTACAGAAAGCCTATATCTCTTGTAACATTTTAGTTATAGCCACAGAAATTCAGAAAACCACTGGCAGTGAAATGGTTAAAATATTAACCGAAAATATATATGAATGACTTACTTTTAATTAAACTGAAACCGGTGGAAAACAAACTTTTTGGGGAATTTCCATCGGTTTGAATGAGAGTATTTTGTGTTCTGAGTTTATGGACTTTATGTTTATTGTGAGATAGTTTGTTCAAATGTGCTCATGTATTGACAGTCAAATATTACACACACTCAGGACTGACTTCCCTGTGGTTGCTAAAGCATATGTATATTTCTGGGTTGCACTGTAAATGATTTCTGACTTGTTTTGAAGGCCCAGTGCTGGTGAGCATCTCTGTTTAAGGATTTAATTCAGATAACATTGTTTTCCCTATTTTGGGAGAAAAAAGGGGATCTGTCAAACCAAATATACTTTTTCTTCTCTTTACACTTTACAGCATAGGTACATGGAATGGAATGGCCTTTGTGGTGCAAAAAAAATGAAATGAATGAAATAAACCCCATAATGAGGAACATGTAAGTATGAGATGGGGGCCGATGGGGGGAGAGTGAGTGTAAAGGGTTACTGGCAGAGGCGCTCAGAGAAGCAGAGACTAAACGGGGGGCAGGCAGAACTGGTCTGCTCTCAGCTTTGAACACTGTATAAGTTCCTTGAAATATTATTTAGAAAACCTTTTAACGGCTTTGAATAATCCAAGTGAATGGTGGACTCCTATATGTTAGTAATTCATTATGATGTGATTCCGCACGGAGCCCGAGTGGTGCTTTTACGCACGATGGAGGAGCTTTTACGCGAGCAGGAAGGGAACGTGTCATGGGCAAATTTGAGCCTCAAAAACGACACTCACTTGGGAAACATCACTGTGAACCCTCTCAAGCGCAACGAATACGTGGCCAAAGTTGAAGTCACTGTTTTAGTCCTGATTTTGCTGCTGGCTCTCACCGGGAACCTGTGCGTCCTGTGGGTGATACGCACATCCAAACACCGCCAGTCTCGGATGTACTACTTCATTAAGCACTTGAGCATCGCGGACTTGGTTGTTGCCGTGTTCCAGGTCCTTCCGCAGCTCATCTGGGACATCACCTTCCGCTTCTATGGCCCCGATTTGCTGTGCCGCTTGGTCAAGTACCTCCAAGTCGTGGGAATGTTCGCGTCCACCTACATGCTCGTGCTGATGTCCGTGGACAGGTGCCTGGCCATATGCAAGCCGCTGCGCTCCGTGCGTAAAAGAAAGGACCGGCTGTGCGTGGCTGCCTCCTGGTTACTGAGTCTGGTTTTCAGTGTTCCTCAGATGTACATTTTCTCTTTGCGGGACGTGGGTAAAGGCGTGTACGACTGTTGGGGAGACTTTGTGCATGCGTGGGGGGCCAAAGCCTATATCACCTGGATGACTATCAGCATTTACATTCTGCCCGTGACTGTTCTGACTGTCTGCTATGGGCTCATCTGCTTAAAGATCTGGCAAAATTTTAACATGAAAACCAAAAGGGAACACTTTTTGGCACGCGCCCCCAGAGCCCAGGCGTCTGCGCACCACCTGTCCCGTGTGAGCAGCGTCAGGCTCATCTCCAAAGCGAAGATCCGCACTGTAAAAATGACGTTCGTGGTGGTGCTTGCCTACATCGTGTGCTGGACCCCGTTCTTCTCAGTCCAGATGTGGTCTGCCTGGGATCCGGCTGCGCCCAGAGAAGGTCAATTAATACCAACATTAATTTGTCTGTATATTCTCAGTTGAAATGACTCTATAGCACTCAGCAATACTTCACCATAACACACTGTAATGGCATTATGAAACCAATAAGAGTGCATGTGATTGATTGAATCCAAATACAGCCCTAGCACTTGATAGGCAGTGCATTTTTTCTTTACGACACATGGTGGTGATGATGGACTGTCATAGTCACAGCTGCCCTGGCTGTCAATTTGCGCCATTAGTCATGTACACACCAACATTCATGTGGGAGAAGTATCTGGTCTGCAACATCCAATTTGCATTTATGTGGGCTTCTTATTTTTAGTCCAGTATAAGTCATAGAGCCCCATACAAGAAAGCGAATCTAAACCTAAATCTAAATAACGAGCCACATTCAAGTTGTGTATGTGTCACCTCTACTGCATGTGTGTGTGTTGTTTAAACTCTCCAGCTCAGATACTTCTGTGGTGAAACATCAGAGCCATGACTAATGCTCATATTTTACATTTGTGAGAATGCATAATGTGCATTTCCATTCACAATATGCAGTGAATCTCTCCTTGTCAGATGTTGAATGTGGATCTTTCACTTTCCAGATGTGCCAAAGAGGAATGAGTGGAAATATTCAATAGAACATGGAGCTTAATCTTTCCTGTGACAGGCTTTAGAAAATGAAGATATCCATCAAATCAGCCATATGATTCAATGTTATGTAACAACAGCATTTGTGAGTTAATGTCATTAGTCACAAGAGAAAATATGACTTAATATTTGATAATGCACAACATGCACTCAAGAAGACAAAAAAAGCTTCTTTCTCTACAAATTCAAAACTGCTGAATTACTTTCAGTCAAACATAATTTAAGCAATGGTTTAAATATGAGCTGCACAGACAACTTTTGAAGGTGAACACAAATGTCATGGTTGATTTGCCAAATGTGAGAAGATTCTGTACGATCTAAAACATCTCACAGAATTTTTATTGCAATTCTCCATGGAAATAACATCTGCCTGGAGCAATAACATTACACAACCTCTTTCAATTGTCCAAAAGGAGAGATTAGGGACCCAAGCTTTGATGAATAATCCGCCTTGAACTTCTACTGCCATAACATGTTATTATATTTTTCTGTAGCCTGCTACATTATTTAAAGCAACTTTAACTTTTCATTATAAGTTTGGCTTTTTCCAGGTTGAATTTGACAAACTATAGAAAGAGTAGAACCTTGTGACGCTTTGGACTGAGAGCTAATTGGATGATGCGTCTATAGATAAATTATTGTAATGTGTGAAGAAATATGTATTTTATGGGCGAGCTAATGGCCAAACGGATGTATATAAAATATTATGCAAAAGAGAAGAGTTAAGTGTAAGATAGAAACAAGTTAGATTTTAATTCATTCTATCACTGTTAAAAAATCATCCCGAACACTACAATCTCCATAAATGTGAATGACTAAATGTTGATATTCCTTTGTGGTTGAAACAAGTTCTTCATTATAATTCTCTCTGATAAGGAACTTGCTGAGTGTAAAACTGTTGCATGTGTTTTGTGTCCTGTCTCAGAAATGGCGTTCATCATCTCCATGTTGTTGGCCAGTCTGAACAGCTGCTGCAACCCCTGGATCTACATGTTCTTCGCGGGGCACCTTTTCCACCAGGGGGCGCAGTGCCTCTTCTGCTGCTGTGCTCGTTACCGGCCTGTGACCACGTGCACGTCCACGCACGCCATCAAGAGCGCGTGCAGCCAGCGCAGCCTGACGCCCACCTCCAGCACAAGGGGGCACACGCAGTGACTGACTCCTCCTCTGAACTCTTATCAAAGAAAACTCTTTCTATGTCATTGATCTGCGCGACTTGTAGTTTTTTTTGGTGCAGATTTGTTAGATTCTTTACATGTACATACTTTCAACATTTATTCTCTTGAAGTTCACCGACATAGCAGAGTATATCAGTCTTGGGTGTGTGACTATAAACGTGGTGCGAATGTAATAGTAAGAATGTAAGTAAGTAAATTCTAAATAAACAAGCACAGAAATATTCTGAATTGAGTTCATATAAGCTCACATCCATACTCTGTAAGAAAAAAGGGTAATTTACAGTGGTAAATGTAAAAACATGGTAAAGAGACGAGATAGGGGCTCCCTCTACTGGACATTGTTTGTAACTGTTACACCCTATGCTAATCTTCACAAAACATTCCCATGAATAATGTTCTGAATTTTGATTATAACAATATTTCTCTATAGTGTCATTGCTGAGATTTTAAAGTATTGGCCTTAAAGTATTTCAACTGATATAATTTCCATAACAAACAAAATAATAGTGGCATACATATTTCTTTGATCTTGTGATGTGTCAACTGTATTTAGATGTGAATTATTTGCAGAATTACAATAAATAAAGTTCTCATTCGGCAACCAAACCAAATGCTGCTTCAAAGTTTGATTATATGACTTGGTTATTACAAACTCAACATAAATCACTGACATTTGACACTGTTTTGTCTATTCCAGAAATGTCCACCATAACACAATCTTTACACCTCTTTATGTAATCCCACTTTGACTCTGCTGAATATCTTTCCGAACCCCTCAAAAAGCGGGTCACAAAACGTATGCACGACCAGAGAGTAGATCTGGCCCAAACACTGGAACTCAATGAGGCAGCTTCTGGTGCAGGGGACCACTACCCAGATGTGGCAGAAGGACAGGATGGCGAAGAGCAGCCCCCACAGCAGCGACAGAGGGAGGCCCAGGACGGCGGTCAGCAGTCGGTAGCACCAGTATTTGGACACTGTGAACGTGGTGTAGCTCGCCTTCCACACGCCATCCAAACTGTGAGTGCCATGAGGCTCTGCAATCACGTCCTCAAACTCCACCTACAGAAACAAACACATGAGGTCAAAGAGTTCAGACAGATTTTAGACAGATTTTAGACAGATTTTAGACAGCTATTCAAAAACGATAATAATATATTGTGACTTATTGGAAACATCTAGGTGCATTGTCATGTTCTTAAGCAATGGCAATAATAAAAATGCTTGCAAATTTCGTATAAAGTATTTTTGTTCATTCCCTCAGTACATGGTAGTGCTAAACTATAAATGCAGACACAGCTGTCATGGGGCAGACTGGTGGAAGCAAGGCTGCCAATCTGCATCTTAGGACCCTCTAGTACTGTAAATACTTCATAATTTAGTTTTTTTTGGACCCAACAACTTTATAATTAACCTTTACTAAATTAAACAAACCTGCTGGTGTAATTATTTCCATGTATTTCTATATAATAATGATAATAATTTGATTTATGATTCTATTTTTTTGTTTCAGTTGATTTGGTTCTGCTTTAACTTGTTTGCACTGAGAGCCAAAGCAATTTCCTAGTTTGTGACTTCCTGTTACTCACATGGAAATAAAAAAGATTCTGATTCTGATTCTGGTATAGAAGAACACAGACATTAGTTAAGATATTTAAGTTATTGCTCTTAATATGATAATAATTTGACAAATATAACAAAAGGTAAACACATATGCTAAATTATGTTTAGTTGCCATGAGTTGTAAATTGTATTGTATGTAACACAGACATTAAAAAAGTTATTCTAGATTTTCATCCCCACGAGAAGAATACCTTGACTACGTCCCGGTTGATTTGGTTGGGATCCCGGTTGATGAGGTCTATCTCTTTGGTGCGACTGTCCCTCCTGATCTTCTGCTCTTCATTGTGGTTCAAATCAGAGATGTCCATTTCAATTTCCATGGAATAATTCAAGTTTGGACCAGAGACAAAACACCAGCAGCAATAGACAACTTTTTTGCTCTTCAGTTGCGCAGCGTTATCCCATCTGAGAGCACCACACAGAGACTAAATAATAAAAAAGTCCCACGCCCATTGGCCATTCTTTAGTACATCTGTGACAAGTATTTTCTAAAGCAGGAAGCAGGCTCATGTTGCATTTCACACAGCTCAATGAAAGTGCCAGCTCCACAACAAATAGACAGGGCCCTATTTGTGGAGATATTCAAATCCAGGCGCTGAATTCTGCACCGGGGCAGTGGCCTCGCACACATATCAAATAATGGTGCAGCAAAATGTAACGTGGAGGTCAAATTCATTTTTCGCTTTTCCGATTTAACTTTAAATGATGGTTGTCTGTGCTTCATGTATACGCTTAATCAAAACAGAAATATACAGTATATATAATTGATTTGTTGTTATCACATGGAATAAAAGGAGCTACTGGATAAAGATTACTTAAAGCTGGGGTACCTAACTTTTTTTGCTCCTTAATACTTCACATTGTTTGTCCCAACAGAAAAAAGTATTATAAAAAAAAACATTTCTATAATAAATCAGTTTTATATCGCGCTTTTTGGACACTCAGAGATGCTTCATATGTCATTATCCTTTTACTCCATACACGGTTGTGATAAACCACTTCTGTAGCCACAGCTGCCCTGGGGCACACTGATAGAAGCGAGGCCACCAGTATGTGTCAAAATATCACAACATGCTGTCTTCATGTGATTATAAAACATATCAAATCACATGCTAAAAATACATGCAAAAACTAGAGATAGCACCAAACTGTTTTGAGAACGACGATGACTTAATTTTAAAGTTATGTTCCACAACTTTAATATTTATGCAACAATAGGTTTTAAGGCAATGAGATAAGGAACTACAACATACTGCATTTTTACATAGTTTTCTATAAATGTGCGTTTTTCTTTTGTATATCAAATTCTACGAAGGTCCCTCGTCCCATATCTTCAGGGTCATTCTTTGGCCAGGTGAACACTGAAGCCTCCGCAGCACCGGCTCGCGCTCGTAAAGAGAGGCTGAACTATGACGTCCATCACGATGCTCCACAAACTCTGCAGCCATCGAGTGCCGACGAGGACACACTGGAGACACGGGCCCACCATCCTGGCAACACACACACACACACACACACAGACACACACAGCCCGGTCACACAATTGGAATGTTCTTATTTATCATTTGAACTGCTTTAATTTTGTTTTTAGAGATGCACAAAGTGTTGGATGTAGTAAAAATAGAGATTTGACTTTATTTTTTGAGAATAGAGTTGTGCTGGACTTAATATTTACTTGCGTTGTGTTGTGTGCTCCTCATTCCTATACTGTTCTGTAACTTGTAATGCAACACTGAAATTTCTCCGCTGTGGGAAGAAGGAACCATTCATCTTTATATCGCTCAAAAGATCAAAGCACATTCTCATGGATGGAGTCAAATAAAGGATCCGGAAAGTTATAAAGTATAAAGTTATTATGTGTGCATTATAGTAGTATAGTATACAATTAAATAAGTGAATTTATTCATATATTTAGTTCTAAAATTCTAAATTCTAAATAATATTCTATAATAATAACATTTTGTAGCAATGTATAACAATATGCAAAGTGTGTGATTTCATTCAGGGCAAAACCAGAATTGCTGGACTGCTTTACCGTATTTGCCAGACTTTTTAACCGTAATTGCAGAAATTTTAAACCGTAATCACTGGACTTTTTTATCATAATTTCTCGACTTCTTTTACCGTAATCACTGGACTTTTTAACCGTAATCATTGCGATTTATTTACACATCTACAATGTAACAAATGTCTGTAAAATTACAATGAAATTTCAACATTAAACAAATGTTATTTTGAAAAACAATTCAAACATGCAAATTTAAGTATAAATTGGTTAAAAAACATCCAGTGGCGTTTTATTACCACAATTATAATGTGATTACAAAAAAACGTTACAATACCATAAAATCACAATGTGATTACCGTAATTTAACATCAACTTGTTGGATTTTTGGAATGCTGGGAATTTTTTTGCTTGTAAGCGACCATGAGTGCACTCTAAGAAGTGAAAGAGTGATGTTGTGCACTTTATGTGAAATGGTTGAAGTGAAATTAATGTGTTTCTTATGTTTCTACAGAAAACATAACAATATTGCATTGGTATAACACAAAAGCAACAGATTTCAGAGCTAAACAGTACATATGTTTAAAACCAACCTAACTCTTTCACGTAAACAAAACATGTACGCAATGACGCTGTGACGCAATGACGCAGACATGCGTAGTTGTCAAGGTTGCCAGATGGGCGGTTCCTCGCATACTTTTGTTCCATGTATCTTGTAGTTAATTAATGGATAAAACGGCCATAAACAGTATCCTGATATTCTAAGTTGATTCCATAACTTTTTATCGCAAAAATATCATTTTGGGTGGTTTTTTGTTGGGATTCTCGCGGGTTTTGGGCAGGAAAATCTTGCCGCATCTGGCAACCCTTGCAACCGAGAGCTTGCCACTGACCGCGAACAGAGTGAGAGCCATTTGAAAAGACACAACTTCGAGTGGTCGAAAATTCTCGTCATTTTGGTAAGTAAGACGCTTCTTTGACTATACAGCATGAAACGGTATGGTGTAATTTTCAATAGTGGTTGTGTCTTTTGTCGTTAATTTTGGAACATAGTCATTGCTAGACTATCGGAGGTTTTCCATGGTAATGTATGATTTACTTAACTAAACACAACATTATAATTTGAGCTTGGGCATTCAAGGTAAACAGTGTTAGTTTCTCTTTTTTCCAGTTGCGTCGAACAGTGACTTGCCGACCATGCTTTCACCATAATGGCGCTGCAAACACAGCAGCTGATAGCTGCTAACAGCTAACGCTAGCTTCTGCCACATGCGGAGCTCCCCGCTAGTCCAACCTATCATTATGCCGCTAAATAAATCACCAAAATGACCTTAAGGGTCGTATTTCTCGCCTCAACTGTTGTTAGAAGTAACGTTCATGTCATAGTTATGATTATTGATCAGAACTTTCATATTCGACATGGATTCTGTTTAGCTGTTATTTAAATATTGTTGAATATATTGAATTGGCTAGCATTCAATCAGTACAAGGCGTATGCGCAGTATTGTTACGTTTTCACTCGAAATGATGGCTATGCCAAGGTTATAAACTAAGGTGTGAAGAGCTGTGTGTTACGGATAGGCGTGCCGTTCCGTGTTACATGATTATCAGTGTCAGTGCGTGCACGGTAACCCGGAACGGTCCATTTTTCACCCGGACTATTTAAGTGGACAGACTTTCGCTTCCGATTTCTCTACAAATATAACAAAACATGTATTGGTTGTATATTTTTGTTATCGTAATTGGTTTTGCCTGTGTTTAAAGAATTATTTAAATTGGGTGTGTTTGATGTGGTAACTTCAGTATTCATTTAATTCTACTTGACGACGCGAGCAACATAAAGGTTCCATACTTTTTAGAATTTACAATACAAATTATTAAAAACATTTTAAGTTTAAATATCTTATCAGGATCTGAGGCAAACCATGGTGATTGGGACATGCTCATTTTCCATTAAAGGGTCTTGTTATTTTGGTTTGTCTTCAATTTGCATACCTTTTTGTATTCAAATGAAAGACTTTAATGCAGTTACTACAAAAACATGATTAGTATGGTGTAGGTGAATTGTAGAGGGACTACTACTTTAAATAAAAATGTAGTTAATGAATCTGAAACTATTTCTAATGTCAGTCTCTGTTTTGCAGGTTTTCAATGTGGAGGTGCAAGGAGTGCCCTGAGACTGTTATCTACGAGGTATCTGTTGCTTAAACACTACAAATTGAAGCATTATCATTATGGATAAAGACACTCGTCTCCATGCACATACTGTGGATCAATACTCCAACAAACTAATGAAGGTGTTCAAGAAGAAAGGAGGAGCAGCAGGACGCAAAATAACAGATTATGGTGGCCCTAGAAGAGGTGTGTTTTACATTGAAACCTTACTGGATAGTCAAATAAGTTTTACTTTCTATACAAACATAACAGAACATATTCTCATGAAAAATCTGAGCATTATTAAAGCTGCACTAACTTACTTTATTTTTGTATTCATTACGAAAATGCTATCCATGTCCATGTAGTGCATTGGGATATACGTCCTTTTGAAGAAAAAGTAGCGCAGATTTTGTGCTGGCGTGACATATTTTAGATCGAGTTTTGATGAAGCAAGGAAGAGAATGTGTTTCGGGTCCCCACTTTCGTGAGAAATCTACAGGTCCGTTAGCACAGGCAGCTGAGTTGGCACAACAAGCGGCGGAGCTAATCTGAGACTTCGTCCTCGTCACCGGTTACTGCTTACACAGCCATCCAGAAGAAAGTCTCGTTCCTCTGCGCTTCCCGGTTCTATCGTTCTATGGTCACGCCGTCCAAGTGCAAATCCATGTCCATGTATTATCCATATTGGGAGATGCTAGCTCCGTCGACAACAGTAAATGTGTTTGGGGGGCGATAGCTTCGTGAGTGAGGGGAGGGGAGCAGAAAGAGCGAGGCCAGTGAGTCCGCGGCTTCAAAATCCCAAAGTCGGTTAGTGCAGCTTTAACCCAACATTCTGACTTTTCTCAATATATTTTTTGAAAATGTAACACAAATATTACTGTATAACGAGAACACTTAATTGGTCTTTCACAGAAACCCAACATTGAAACAAGACTACTCTGCATCCTAAAGGCTTTGTGCGTGTACTTGAATGAAGACCCCGAAGACCTGGTTAAGACCTACATGGTGAGTTATCACTTATTTCAGCACACCTTTGACATTGCTGATATCTATAAATACATTCAAATCATGTTGTCACGCAAATATCTCCAAGTCTAAATAGATGAAGAAAGTTGCATGGCTATTTCAAACCAATTTGTTAAACTAAAACCTGGGCTGTGTAAAATTAACTTTTAGGTAGAGAGGTTGAATTTTTTTTATTTGCTGTATGCAGAACTAGATGTAATGATAAGAGTACAGTAAAAACAATAATAAACCTCTGCCACAAAGAAAAAAATTTCAGTATGCGCAGTAATGCAGAAATTAGATGGTAAAGACCTGGGGACAGCCCAGAACAACGCACTCAGTTGGACTTGTCTCCTGCTCATTTTCCAGAGGGAGCAATGGGCTATAGCAATAGTTATATAAACAGGCCAGATTTGTCACCACCAACAAAACAAACTGATTTGTAATGTAGACACTGAAGAAAAATGCAACAGCGCAACTCATAGGCCTACCTTGCCCAGCCTCCAATGCCTATACATTGTATAATCGATATAAACAATGGTGACAAATGTTCTAATAAAGACCCCTTATGAGTGAGAATTCACTAAACAGGCTTGTAGGGATGAAGTACTATTGATATTTTAACATTCATACTTATTACTCATACTTAGTGAACATTTTAAAGTATGAATACTATGTGCATAGAGCCAATAATGCTAAGACCAAAATTCACATAAAGATAAATATCTACTTTATTATGGATAATTTACCTTAAATGATAATGAAACACAATTGCTAGTCTAACTTTTAAAGGAAAACTAAACACCAAAACAACTTTTTTTAAACTCATAAACTGCATGAATGTTTCTTTTATAGTGCTCTTTATGTCCTGGTCCTGGTCTAGCTAAACGATAATCTTTAGTGTGTAAACAAGGATGGAATGAGAATTTCTGGTATGGAACTTTTGCTTTAATCCAGAATTGACAGCTGACAAGCAAGCAGTCAATCACAGCCCAGACCACGCCCAAATCTAAGCCCCCTTCCTGTCCCCTGGTCCTGCGGGCAATGCCCTTTTTACAGAGAATTTTCAAATGTTCATGTGGTCGGAGTCAGGCTGGGCACAGGTGTTTAGTCGCACTTTAACCCACTCACCGTTGCACAAGATTTAGCAGTTGACTGCTGTGCAAAAGAGCGATGCTTTTTGGCATGGTAGTCAGAGCGTATGTACAATGGTTGTAGCATGCAACTACTGTAGCAGTGTGCGTTATTTTTGATTAAAATGTCACCATCTCACACCTTGTGCTTGATTTATAGGGTTTGATTTCAATATGGGAAAATATTAAA